CTTAGATTTTAAGGGCTGCTGAGAAGAAACAGTCAGTGAGTCAATGGGTAAACTCATTTTTTTTGTATCAGCAAGGTTTGAGCTCATTTAGAGCATTGAAAGCATCTTCTAAAGGAAATGATAAAAGGCTTTGTAACAGACTGTACTGTGACTCAATGGAGCTCAGAGCAACATCAAATATTCCAGAGATTTCGTTGGAAGAGACACCAGATCAGCTCCAGTCTGTCCATCTGCCACACACATTATTATTATCACAAACTACTGATGATATTTTAATGAAACTTAAGGGAATGATGTATCTCCCGACCTGCGTCGTTCAGTGCAACAGTGCAGGTTAATGACTGCAATTTATAAAATTACTACAATAAATGGAGTATCTAACATCAATAAGCCCAATGGGAAAGCATGTCTTTCTGTCACTCATAGGTGTCATGCGTGGCATCCCAGATTTTGCAAAACCTGATTTCAGGAATGAAAATGTGTGAATGGAATTCACGTGGATTAAAACATGTTTGATTTTGACAAAACGTGGTCTCAGGCAAATCCTAAACACATAATAACACACGAAGCCTATGAAACGCTTCAAGGTGATTAAGCAAGGTGGATACAGTGTGAGCATGATACTGTCTTATTATTTAACAAAATAATAATAATTGAGTAATGCTGACATTTTCAGTTACAAGAAGTGACATGTCTACAACTTCTGCTGCCTCACCTGTCACCTTTGTCCCATGATAACATCTGTCAGCTGTCAACAATACAACAACAACAGCCTTTTATCACACAGTGTTTTGCACTACACTTGTCTTGATAAGAATCATAGCGGTGTCTCCCTAAACAGAACGAATGTAACTCTTGAAGATAAATACTTTGAATGAGCATGAAGATACTTCTTTTTTTTCCTTCTATCTATCTGCTTTTCTTCGAGGGCATTCACATTGTGTATGGCCTACATTGCCAGCTCCAGTGAGGATCCGGAGCAGACAGGACATTCGTCATACTCTTCTCTGTCCTCCTTTATGTGCACACAGACTTTGCAGATCGCATGGCAGAATGACAGGGTCTCTAATAATGTCATTGCAGAGAACAGCAGCACAGATCTTCCACTGGAGGACACAACCTACAGGCCATGCTGACCTCTCTGAACCCGACTGCTCCCCCTATTTTGGTTCTTGGCTCTGGCTGTGCAGCTTAACCTGTGTGTCTTCATGATCCTGCTGTGCCATCACACATCAGCAGCTGGCTTTACAGTGAGAGTACATTTAGGATTGTCTTATCACAGATATTGTAATTCTAGTGCAATGCTGTAATTAGTCTGTGGGGTGGATCTGCTGTTTAAATTTGAATGGTTTCATTTTGAATCATGGTGTTGTCTGCATTTTCTAATTACAGTATTATGCACGGCTCCACTTTTGATCATTATTCTTTGCAATTGCTTGTTGTCTCCTATGCTTGTACACACAGGTAGGTTCAGCTTGCTGGCAGTGTATTTTGCTGCCAAAGAGGTGTGTGCTCTGAACTTATAGTGCACCACTGCCCCCCTGTGGACTGCAGTGAAACATGAAGGGAGACCTCAGTTCACCCCACAGCCACAATTGGTAACTCCTTTAAGTCTTCTTCTAAGACAGATTTTCCACACTGTCTACTTTTGCCTGTAGCCATTCTACAAATACTAACACAAATCACAAAGAACAGTATGGTTAGCCCAATCTTTTACACAATCCCACTTGTGTGGGTTTGTTTTGTGTTTAGCCACTCAAAAATAACTAAAAACACACCTAGTTTTTCATCAGTACAATGTATAAAGTGCCAGATATGACTTCACAAATCAGTTAATCAGTTTTTGAAATAATCAAAGTAACCACATTGATTTATGTGTTGAGTGTAACACAATTTCAATCAAAATTCAATCAAACTGAAAACAATATAAATTAAATAGGTATTACAAATGTTAACATACAAGTAGACTTCTGGTTTCAGTTATACAGTATCTTGATACACATTATGGCTTCATGTTATATTTATAGACTAATTATGCACATTTTAATGTGTTCATTATGTTACCATTATAACTAAGAGTTGTATATTATATTTCGCTACAATTAAGATAATTAACATTATGATAGTAGATATGGTTCATGGTGAAATGCTCATTTTGATAGGTTGTTAGTTTTTTCTTATATTTAATTGTGTTATATATTGTTATGTTTAATTATCCACATGAGTGCTCAGGATGCTGAGTTTTGAATAACAGGAAATGTCTAAGTGTGGAGCTGGGACAGCCAGAGAGTAATATGTTGCAGCAGCCAATTCTGGAAGGAATTAAAAATAAAAAAAAATGAAACAGGGGATCAGTTTGTCTACACTCTCTCTCTGCCTCCCTGGGGGATCGACACACGGCTCCTTCCTCACCAGTGCTCGAGAACATCAACAGCAGCCTTGTCCTTCGGGTGTGTTGGGGGTTTTTTTTTTGTGTGTTTTTTTCACTCTCCCTAATTAGCATGTGCGTCATGGCCACGCAACACGTGTGCTTTTTCAGCAACAAAAGACCTTCACTAAACTCAATTGCCAGAGCCTGTGGATGGGACCACTCCAAGAACTAGAACAACCTCCTCAAAGAAAACAATCGCATGCTGACAGAGACCCCAAAAGGAGACAGAAGCAGTAAAAAAAACAGTCTTTCTAAATCAGAAACCTGCCTTGCCTTGAGGCCGCACCTAGGTGTCCCCCCTGCTCTATTACAAAGTCCCAGTTGGGTGGACCCAGAGCTCTTTCATAACACACAATGGCTCATAAGACATCAGTGAACATCTTAGTAGGTGTGCCCTTGACCCACATGTTTTTATTTTTATAAAATTGATCTGAGTGATAAAAGTAAAAAGATAAGTTAACAGAAATTGACACGCCAATATTACATAAAAAAAGACATTGTGTTTACATAGGATGCCTAGGGAACGGTGCAATAATGTATCTATATAGGGCAAACCCGATTAAAGCATTTATTTTTCTTAAACCTTTTTTCCATCCTGCATTTTTCCTTTTCAAGCACTTCCTTTATGACTGTCACTGCTTTGGGCCTTCCCCAAAGCCTTAGGAGAACTGGCTAAATGCCAACTCCTGCATATTGCTGCTGAAGTGAGAATATGGTGTTTTGGATATTGCCTTCATATGTTTGTCAGAAGAGAATCTGGATCAAAGATAACGTCTGTATATTTGACAAAGTCCTTTGGGAGAACTGTGCTGCCACTGAAGTTGAAAGAGAGCCTGATAAGTGAGTTGCTGTGGCCTAGAATTAGCATTTCACTTTTATCTGTGTTGAAAATAAAGTTATTTGTCAGGTTTTTGTGTGTGTATTGATGCAGAGAGATTAAAGAACTTGGCTTGTTTGAGATGTCACAGTAAGAAACATTCTCATCCGTGTCTTTAGGGGTCAGCCTCCCACCAGCTAGCAATGAGTCCATCGTTCATCCCCAGAAATGCAAGCACACGCCTTATCCATTAGTAGAGCATCAGTCAGACCCTAAAATGCATCCGTCTGTTTTTTTTTTTGTTTTTTGTTTGCTAGAATATTTTCTGAATTCTCAGAAAGATATTAGTGAGAGTGAGCTAACGGTTGGCTCCATTCATCAATTGTGAACCCTCAGCCTGGTTCCTACTGTAAGTACTTGGTTAATAAATACAGGTGAGAAGCAAAGACGTTCTAGCTAGCTCTCTAACACTTCTAGGAAATGTTGCATGGGTCTCTTTGCATGTTGAAAAAGCCATGTGATGCCGTCCACTAAATGATCCACTGATTTGCACTTCTCTACATAAATGTGTAAAACTCTACCATGCTATAACTGCACAATTAATTATCAAGATTCTAATGAATTAACTTTTTCTTTTGAGAAGTAGTAGACAGAATATCAAGTGGTGAATAATTCAGACCAGTACAAAAAAAACGCCAAAGAACACTTGTCTTGTCTTGTGAATGTCAGAGATGTCACTGTCAACACCTTCAGTTAACTTTCAACTAGTTCAGCTTTGCAGAATCTATTTGTAAATCTCTCTCTGTATGTTATAAAATGGAGTGAGAATGGCATACTCTCTAATCATCAGTATGAGCCATATGTTTAGCAGGCTGTTAATCAGGAAGGCAGTGAAGTACAAGAAAAAGATCTGACAATGAAGGGTTGTCAAAACTTCAGATACTTTGAGCCGTCACAGTTGCTGCAACTTCATCTGATGAAAAATGACTGATTATGTATTCTGATAAAGTGTCACTGTCATAATATTCCCACACTTACATATTAGATGTGTTTGAGCTTAAATTACATAATTAGAAATACTTACATGTGTCCAACACAGAGAGACTAAGAAAAAGCTTCTCTTCCCAGGCCATCACATTTTCACATTTGCACTCGAGTGTGTACAAACTTTTACTATACAGTTTGTTTTACACTTATAACATACATTTTAGATTTGTATATACTTAAACACAGCTCACCTACACATGCATTCACGCATTTCAATACCTATAATATCAGTAAATCTATTTTATACGTTTTCATTCTTTATATTTTTTTCTCCAAATTATCATCTTTACCTGTATTTGAATTAAGATTATTGATTGCACACTAGAATCTAAGCACAGCCTTAAGTGTATGCCACCAAAGCATCAGGGCACTGAACTGAACTAACTATACAAGGTGTATACATGGTATTTCATGTATAGAAATCCGGCAGTACATCAGCTAAAAGTTACATTTAAACTGTTGCATTCAATATTTATACTGTAATAGCAGAAGCACGTGTTTTGGTTCAGCTCATGGAAACTTCCTCAGCGTGTACCAACTACAAATTTTACATTATAAAATTAGGATTTCAGACTATATATTTTCATTTAAATGTATCTGTAGAGGAATCTATACAGTCAAAGAGAGACTCATTTGTTTTATTTACCGACATGGGTTTTACTTTGAAGAGAATAAACGGAAGTTCTCTTCATTCCTTCCGGCTGACCTCGTGACAGACGCAGCTGTCACCAAAATCAGCTTTTCTTTCTGTATTTTAACAGCTCAAAAAACTGAATAAAACATCGTTAAAACATCCCGCTATGCATTTTATCTGACCACTTAAAGCGGTGCGCCGTATGACAACGACCCGTTACTTCTATACATTGACGTTAATATCCTCCGACCTATAACTGAAAGTAACCTCTGGCCAGCTAGCGTTAGCTCAGTCAGCTAGCTCTCCATGGCAACCCTGCGGGTCCTGTGCATCCATGGTTACCGTCAGAACGGCAGCTCGTTCCGCGGGAAAACGGGAGCTCTGCGGAAGCTGCTGAAGAAACAAGTGGAGCTTGTTTACCTGAGTGCACCGCACAGTGTGCCGCAAAGCAGCGGCGAAGGTGGGCTTCCCCCTGAGCTAGCTCCCCCTGAAGGGAAACACAGCGGTGCTTTCACTTTGTACATTTCTGTATTAGTTTATCCTAGTTTTTCAAACTAGTTACACATAAATACTAAGTTAAATGAAGTGAAGAAAGTTAAGTCTAATCCAACGCTGGCCTGCTGAGTAACTACTTGAATGTAGCCATTATTATTTTGACAAATTAACAAGACTGGTAGATTGATATTTTAAATGTAATATCTTTTTAAACATGACAGTACTTTTCAAGTTCTGTAATTGATCTCTTGTAATTTATCTAACCAGGACAAAGCCGTGTTATATTCATTGCCTTGAGAAATAAGAATGCAAATATCTGTGTTTTTTATTATTATTATGACTATCATAAGGTACAACAGGTCAGAACAGGCTATTTTGGCTCAATTGGTCAACTTCCGTATATAGTTTATTGTCTATTGTATGATATAATGTTGTTTCTATTGCAAGTGAAGAATGAGTTACAGCCACAGACTGCAGTTTATGGTAAAAGCTATAACAAGATAATCCGTTAATATAACATCAATTCCCACCTTATCTTAAATCGTCTGTGATCTCAAAATAACTTCCTGTTTGTATGCAAACCATTTTTAACATCAAATCATTCATCATCATCAATCATCATTCACTGAAACAAGAAACTTCGCTTTGCTGCAGATTTAAGTTTCCATTTAAAAACACAGAAAATGAAGGAAACATTAACCTATTTTAATGCACTAATAACAGAAGCATTGTTGTAATATTAATATCACGTTTGTCCTAAAATAATAAAGATTAATTTTCAGAGTTTAAGTGAAACTTGTGGTCCCTTCCCCAGTTTCTTATCCGTCTTCACCTGTCCCTCTTTAAATAAAGGCATACAAAGCCTACTAATAAACACTCCTTTGTCATTTCAGAAGCTCCAGAGAAGGAGAATGGTTCTGGACCTGAAGGCGATGAGGACTCCAAGGGGTGGTGGTTTTCCGACATCCAGGCTCGGAGTTTCAACGCCCAGCAGCAGTGTGAGGAAAGCCTGGGGCTCAACGAGAGCGTGGTGGTCGTGAGAGAAGCTGTGAAGGTCCAAGGTCCGTTTGACGGCATCCTGGGCTTCAGTCAGGGAGCAGCTTTTGTGGCCATGCTGTGCTCTCTTCAGGAGCAAAAACTGGAGCCAGAGTTCAGCTTCCGCTTTGCCATCCTTGTCGCTGGTTTCCGCAGCGCATGTGAGGAACATCAGACGTTCTACAACACGCCTCTCCAGATCCCGTCCCTGCATGTGTTTGGACTGGAGGACAGAGTCATCCCGGACAACATGAGCAGGGAGCTACTCCCCTCCTTCCAAGACCCTCAGGTCCTGACACATCCTGGTGGGCATTTTGTTCCTGCTGCATCTGCTCACAGACAAACCTACCAGGACTTTCTCAAGAGGTTCCAGTGAGAGATGAAAGTCACAGAAACTCAGGCGAAGGGCCAGGGAATGCTGATCGTTTAATGTTCAGAAAAATCTTGTGATAACATAATTGATACCAGAGGCACTTAAAAAATGCCAAGTTTAGAATCATGACCTTTCATGCTCTGGAAGCTGATCTGATCCTTCCAACAGTGCAGTGACTGCTGTCCTTCTCAGGGAAGATATCTTGTAACAGACAATAAATCGACACTTGTAATGTAATGTATTCTAGTCTTTTTCTTTTTGTGAGCTGTGTAATTCTTTAAAGTGCAACTAATAACATTTATGGCTTTGTTCCAGTAATGTTATTACGACCTATTTAAACCAAACCTTCAACACTTCCATCTTCTCCCACATGGACTCTAGGATTAATAATTAAATAACCGATTGCATCCTGACGTTCTCAGCTTACAACTGGTGTATGAATTTCTGAAATATTGTGGAACTCTGTGTTGAAATGAGAATAGACTGAGGTAATAAGATAAAGCCCTCAGTACGCTTCCAACAAACACAGCTCTAAAGGCAAAGATCTGTCTGAATGGTCACACCAGAAGGCCGGACTAAACGCTCGCTGTCATAGCCTCCTACTGGCTGCATCCCTCTGCCAACTCTCTCTCTCTCTGAGCACTATGTCTTTTGCGTGTGTCTATACCCCGAATGCAAGGAGGCCGCTTCAGACGCTGTAATACAATCTGACCAGCACCTTGAGACAAATTGGCAGATGGGAACAATCGGGATATTGGTTTAATTTCTTTGGAAGCTAGATGGAAATATCAGGAATTATTATAAATGACTCTGATTTTACAGGAATAAACGTAAATGTATTTTCCATTTTTCCCTGCAGTGATCTTTATAGTAAAAAGCTAAGAAGTGTCCTCCCCTTTATAAAAACAACACTACGCCAGGAGAGGACCAACATTTTTAGGTTCTGGGAACACTTTACCATGATTGTGGAAAGTTATGACAAGAATTTTATATCAGAGCCACATTGGAAATCTTGATTTAATAAGTCTGAGTAATATTTTGGATAAAATAGCTTTGCTTTATTTGTGTATTGCGACAGTTGTGTAACAATAGAACTGCACGCTGTCACAAATTGGTGCAAAGACAGTTTTAACAATGAGTTAATACATAAGGCACTTTTCACCCACAGTGAATTGCATTGCGTTGTATGGGAGTAATGAGGAGTTGCTCCGCCCGCCCAGAGGCGATGTATCTCTATAATTGGGTTAAGGTGTCGCATGAAGGTGTTTCTTCATACGTGGGGTTATATGGACAGGTTAATGCACACGCTTAAATGCACAAGGTTCAAGGACATGTTGTTCTTTTATAGCTGAAAGCATGTGCACGTCAGACTGCACTCATTCGATTGTTTCCAGATGTGTGCTTTCTCCTCTCTACCTCTCTCTCTCTCTCTCTCTCTCTCTCTCCCCTTCCCCTATTTGCTTTCATCTCCCACTGGCCTCTACCTCACTTCAAACTCTCCTCAACATCTCCCTCCCCTCTGCATCCTGTGTGTCATCAGCTTTGGGCGCTACATACCCTATCACATGTCCTCTACATTTATGACATGGACAGAAATAGTTTTGTTTGTCTGGATATCTCCGCTCTTGATTCGAACTACAAACAACTGTGGGCTGTTGCTGGTGATTATTTGCCTTGCAGGGATGAAATTCCATAGTGAAACATCTTATATTCAGCATCTATGTCCACTCTTACTCTCACTGTGTGTCTTAATGTTTATAGCACGTCACCTGTTCCAACATCTAACGCAAGCACAAATATCATACCTACGTGGTCCCGTTTCCCCATCACAGCCCTCGTATTCATTCTCTCCTGTGCTCCCCTGTGGCCCTTGTGTCCCTCCAAGACCTCACAGCAGACACACACACTCACACACATGGTTTTGATAACAAGTAAAGACGAACGGAGAGAGTGAGCGAGCGAGGGAAACAGTAAAAGAAAAACACAGAGGGTCACTCTTGCCAGTAAGTTTTACAACAGAGCCGTGACTCTCTTCTCAGGAATCCGTTCCCCCTGTTGCACAACAACCGGGAAATAATGGAATGAGAGACAGAGACAGATGAGGGTGGAGTTATCCTCCCCTCCTCGCCTCCCTCTCCCCCTCTCTGCCTCTCTCTGGCTGTTTTGCGGTTAAAAAGGGAGAGTAAGGGCACATTCAAGTTTTCGCCGCGATTGAAGGATCACTTTTTCCCTCTTCCCCTCGGTGGAGTGTGGGGGGAATGGAGCAGGGGGCAGAGGGGTGTGTCAGAGCACAGATGGGCTCTATTTTGATTATGGAGCGTTTGTTGTTATGGGAGACGGAAGGAGGGGAGGGGCCACGTGGTGCGTGTGTCTATATAAGACTTGCACTTAAACTCCAAAGAGCCTGGTCATCCCATGGCCCAGGCTGGTCCAGACACTTCCAAAGTTGACCAACTCTGCCTTCAGCTTCTCCCACTCCAATTCTCACTCTCTGGAATAATGCTGTGATTACAAAATATTCAGCAGAGGACTTGAGATCTCATTACCTGACTTACAACTTTTGGATTACATGCATTTTTTTTGCAGTTATTCACCATTGTTTTTTGTTTTTTTGTCATCGTAATCTGCATTGTTCCGATCCCAAAAAAGAGCTGATGCTGAAGACAGAAGGACTGTGGCGTAGTTTGGATTCTTAAACAGATTTTTCACATCTTTCTAAAACTGAATTGATATTAATATCAATCTGTTTAAGTCTACGCATGAGTGCATGTGTTTGTGGGTGCGCTTGCGCCATAAAATTAGGTATGCTGGTGCGTGTGGATGTGATGTAACTTCATATTGGATGTTTTCCAGAAGTATGGCATGTGTCCAGTATCACATGGGGATTTAGCCATGCCTCTCTGCTTCCTGTGTTTGTTTGTGTGTGT